ATAAAACAGAAGCCCAAAAGTAAAATTTTTTATCTCCCAAGAATGTAAGAACAAAAAAAAATCTTCAGCTTTGTAAAATATAATTATTTTCGCATCTTCGGAAGTCTTTAAACATCACTTCCTCATAAGGTAAAAAAATTCACTTAGTGCTATTTTTAAAGTGGTGATAAATGTTATTCTTTTGGAAGTACATCGTTTTATTTTTGCTGGGATATCAAACATATATTCACAACAAATGTTTGATATTTGAAAATGTAAACAAACCAAACGAAACAAAAATTTGGGGAAATTTAAATTTTTTAAAGAAAATATGTAAATTAATAGCACTCTAATATTCAAAAATTATTTGTAATTGGATTAATTTTATTTGCAATAATTAGTTTTATATTAGTTTTTTGTTAAAAATCATAACAACCATCCAGCAAAAATAAAACTAAGTACTTTCAAAGGAATAACATTTATCACCACTTCGAAAGTAACACTTAGTGAATTTTTTTACCTTCTGAGGAAGTGATGTTTAAAGACTTCCGAAGATGCGGAAATAATTATATTTTTTCAATGTTGAAGATATATTTTTTGTTCTTACATTTTTATGAAATAAAAAATTTTATTTTTGGGCTTTTGTATTAAATGTGTATATTACTCTAATTAATGTTAATATTATTTAGGTCAAATTAGTTGTATTCTATAATACTACAATTTCACTTCCGATTAACTTCCAAAAAAGGAAAAGTGTAAAGCTTTAATAATAGTTCGATTTTTATTAGATAATATTTACTACTATTATTATGCCTGTATTGTATAATTTATTCAAGAAATTTTCATTAAAAACACAATAAAAATCATAAATTTACTGTTATTTTATTGCGTTGCATTTTTTGTGCTCGCGAAAATTTTTCACTTTTTCAGAAATAGAAGCTCTTAATTAAGAGAATAAACATCATAAAGAAAGAATGGATTCATTACCGTTATTTCGAAACGCTTTTTGGTTTGTGCATAATATTTGCTATTCGTTTAAGCTATGTCCGTGTAAACATTGTGCGCTCGCACAAAGTTGAAGTTAAAGTTGAAGATACTTGAACTTCAGTTTCATTTTGTATGAGAGATTGTTTGACTTTTAGAATTACTAAATTTAAAATGATAATTTTTCTACCAGACAGAATCCATAGCATAGTATTACTGTTTTGTATATTTTTCTATTAAAAATACAGCGGTAGCCCCGCGACATTTTCGGTACTTTTTCTGTAAACATTTAATAGTTTGGATTTTTCGTATTATAGTTTTTTACTTCATTTTTCTCAATTTCTATCTTCTCTGCAACTTAAATGGTCTTGCGACTAATTTTTTAGCGGTATTTTAAGAATAAATTATCTAAAATTTAGCATCTCACATATTTAAAACGAATTTAGATCCTTTCTTTTAAGATTCTATATGGGTCAGTAGTTTTCCATAAACCAATATAATTTATTTATTGTTAATTTTAACGTATTTAAAGATTTATAAAAATTTATAATTAATTTTGAAAACGGATACTGTTGACTTCTTTTAGTGTTTCTACCAGGACCCAACCTCCTTTAAGAAATAAAACAGAATAACTTTTCGTTTCAAAATTTAAACATAAAATACCAAAATTTGATTTTAATTCGAAGCATACTTACATTTTATATGAATATGGTTATATGAAATGTTATTTTTTTTTTTTCATGCATACTGGAAGCACAGGTGCATTGTCTCAACCTAATTCTTTATAAAATTAACTTTTAATAAAAATATCTTAACCTCCTACTTTTCTTGTAAATATGTATATTAAAGGTGTTAAAATAATATAGATTTTTCTCATTTGTTCATTAATGTCTAAAAATAACTGGTAAAAAATTTTAGCCCAATCGGATAACGGGAACCCGTGCTGGAAATCGATTGAAAAGTGTAAAATTGGGTAAAAAATTGCGTCATTAAAATTACAGTTTCTTAAAATTTCAACCAAATCTTGTCTTCTAAGGAAACATTTTTTTCCAACAAGCTATAAAATATTAATATCGAGCTACAAATAACAAAGTTATAGGCATTTTCTACTCACAAATATGTATGTGGTAAAAACGACTAAATAATTCTTATTTTACTCGTTTTCTTGTGTAGATATTTTTGTTTACATTACTTCAGCATGCAAAACGAAGACCAAACAATGCAAAAACTGCATGATTTTTTCAATAAATGGTTTGGGAAAATGACAATAACTTTATTGTTTGTCCTTTGATATAAATTGTTCAATTCACATGTCGTATCGTTGTATGCGTAGTATGTCAGCAGCTGCTACCAAGCTGTTTACCAAAACAAAAAAATAAAATTTGATTAAAAACGGTTTATTTATTTGTTTAAAATGTGGAATAAAGACATTAAAATTCAAAGAAATTAATTTGGTTTATTCTGCATGGTTAATTAATTTAAGAGTACCTATTTGATTTTTTTTACCTTTAAACATTGTTATGTATGTATGTTTGTTTTGATTGTTTTTTCATTAAGAACACAAACTTATTACTTGCTGCAAAGATCAGTTCACAATCACTGTTACTACACTTTAGTAGGTACAAAATACAACTTGATCGTGAATTGAAGAAATGTTTTATGCCTCGTTGGATAGATAATTTTCTCTAGATGATAAGGTTTCGACGAAATGTTACAAAAAGTTAATTTTAATGGCACAATTTTTGAAGGAACCAAAAAAAAAACACGGATGAAGGTGGGTCTTATTTTGTTTATTAGTGTCTTAAATTTAATGGTGCACCAGCAAATCAATATTTTTTGGACACCTCTAACACAGATACATACATACATAAATACATACATACATACATACATACATACATACATACATACATACATACATACATACATACATACATACATACATACATACATACATACATACATACATACATACATACATACATACATACATACATACATACATACATACATACGTGGTACCTAGTATATGAATTAAATAAAAAAAATCGTTTATCCGGGAAAATATTAGAGGTAGAATCTTAAAATTAACATAAAAGTGAAAATTTGGAAGTAAAATGTGCGGACATTCTTGGAACCTCTCATATGAATTGAATACAAAAAGTTGTATATCTGAAAAACTATTAGAGCTAAAATCGTTAAATTTTTCGCTAACAACTCTGACATGTGAATATTTGAATCTAGAATTCTAAAATTTTGCACGAAGAATTTTCACATTCATGTGAACATGGGAAGTACCATATTGAGGACCTCCCATATGCATTAAAATAAAAATTCGTACAACTGAGAAACTAATAGAACTAGAATCTTCAAAAATCGTAAAGTGCTGCTTTTAGGGTTGCAAAGCACACTGGGTATAGCTAGTATCGCAATAAAATTTCTCATGTTTGGAGCTGGGGTGTTTTCGAGTTGATTGACAGCTGTAGGTGATCCAGGGCGAAATGGGGACCAGTGGTTAGCCCTTCAAAATTGATCAACTCGGGTATTACAATTTTTTAAAAAATCGCCAAAAATCCATACATATAATCTGAGCTGAAATTGGAGGCATGTCTTGGAGTTGTACACTTCCACAATGCACATTGGTTCAAATCATCACTTTTTCAGTGTGAAATTAAGATCGACAAAATAATGAAACTCTTTAAAGTCTAAGATGGAGCATAGGCATAAATATTGGAATGTCTGATAAGGACATTATCCTTTTCTTAGTCCTTTAATCAAATTTGAAAATGCTTATAAGGTAGCACCCTAGAAAATGTTAAATTACAATTTCGGGTATAGTGAAACTAATTCACAACATTTCAGGTTATTCATTTCTTCTTATTTCAGGTCTAACAAACGTTAACATTTTCTGAAAAGCTTTCATGAAGTTAAAATTTTAAAATCAAATTCAATTTTCTCAAGGTTTTTTTTTTAATATTGTCTTTTTCGAAGTAAAGGAATATTATTTCCAACCATTTACAAGAATATATGTATATAAACTGCTGACACATTTGACAGTTATTGAAAATTATTTACACACTTTCCAGAATCAAAGTTTAAAAATAATGATAAAATGTAGACTCTACAAACAGATCTTTTTTAATATTTTGAAATTATGACTTTGACTGCGTGCAGTAGAAGAGTGTTTGAACTATAGTGCAATGTATTAAAAACTTAAAATGTATAATAGCTGATATTTAAGAGAATGTACACTATCGGACAAAATAAGTGAAAAAATGCTCATGTTAAGTATATTCTTTCAGCGAAAAATCTGTTTAATGATTATAGAATACGAACAATTTTTTAAAATTCATTTAGTTAATATACAATGCTACAAAAATTTCTCTGTATAACATCTAAAATTATTTTTTATGCGGGCTAGGGGAATAATGGACTGATTTAATCCATTTCCAAACAACTTCGTCCTTGGGTAAAATGAAACATATGAGCCTATTATCAAATTATCCAGAAAATTGCTACTTGTAGTTTGATTACAAAGTTTACATGGACGGACATAGCTAAACCACTATAGTGCTGTAGGATATAATTTGGAAAGGGCTATGTCCGGTTGTTAATTAACAATTTTTATTTTTTTTCCTATACGTCGAAATTTTGAGATAAAGTGGTTTTTGTTAAGCATCCTTCTTCAATAGTGATGGAAAAATATTTTAAAATGAGAATGGATTTTTGCGTGCTTGCACCTGTTTTGGGAACCTAACAATCAACTCAGGAAATAATTCAATAATATAAAATTTACGTCTTCGTTAACCCACTTTTTATCAGATTTCTTAATTTTTGGCCAGATTTTTAGTAATTGTTTTGATATTTTTTTTTTTAATTAAAAAAAAATAAAATTTGAAAAAATTATTGACATTTTATTCCTGAATTACAACCTTACGGATCTGAATTTATTATTATACTTTTTCCGAAAAACTCTTGGAAGTGTGTGTGATAAAAATTGCATCTATTATTTTTGTTTTTTTTTTTTTTTTAATTGGAATGCATATAACTTTGAACCCAGTCATAATTTTTAAAAATGGCAAAAAATCTCTATTTTTATTTGTTTTAAATGGAATGCATATAACTTTGGACTTAGTCATTCATGATACATTCAGCTATGACGAATTTTATATATCCACCATTAAATAGTCTACCTTAAAAGGAATGCTCCTCTATAAGCATCAGGGTGATTTTTTGGTTCATATAAGATTTGTTTATATCGAATATCATCACTGCACTCACATTTGTATTAAAGTAATTAGCTTTAAAGTAATTTTCTGGTGTGGGCCTTATATGGGGGATTGGGTAAATTTTGGACCGATCCTCATAAAATTTGGTAGAGAGAATTTATCTCGTATAAAACTTATTGGTATTTTTAAGTTTGAAATGGGCGTAGAAGTCAGTTTTTGAAGACGACCTCATATAGGGTAGGTAGGGTAATTTATGAGCCGATCCTCATAAAAATTGGTAAAGGACCCAGAATATACATATATATTCTTTTTTCATGGTGGACATAAAAATATACATACGTACATATAAGTTTAAAATAATAAAACTCTTTGTCGACAGCTGTTGTTGTTCTAGTTGTAATCATCCTGTTAAACTGCAGTGATATACATAGTTGTGCATCACTACATTTCTAATTTAAAAATTTACAGGAATCTTTAGGACTAAAATGAATTTTAAGCATATGTATGTATGTTTCTTAATGTTTCAAACATAAATTTCTAATTTTTCTATGACACACTGCATTTTGATGTGAACTCACTGCAATATATTAAAGCAAATTAAAATCAGAATGCTAAGATTATTTACTTCTAAATATCAAAAAATTAAAAACTAACATGTTTAACTTCAATCCATGAAAGGATAGAAAATGCACCTGATATTCCAGTTACATAGATTTCATTATTTTTAAGTAAATCTGATTTACATTAATTTCTATTTTATATATTACAAAAAATGATAATCAAAAATAAAACAATTGTTAATAGCTTATCGATAATGATCCCATTTGTCCAATGCATCGTCCCTCTTCATCAAACGTGGCCAATGTTAGACGTGATAGCTTATTACATAGCACTCCATTGCCGTTATTTTGTATTGGATTCGGTTCTGCAATATAAGTAAATAATTATTTTGTGTATAATGAACAAAACAATATGTTTCTATATATATACAATATGTTTCCGCCGAAAATTCCGTTAATTCTAAGATACTATATTCCTGACGTCAATATTTGGTGAGCTGGATCAGAAGATAAATGGTAATTTTTGAGGTATTTTTTCCATATTTCTTACAAAAACAATATTCAGTGTCATATTAAAGGTCTTTGAAAGGCGGTTTCATGTTATGTCAGACATTTATGTGCGATGAAAAAAGCATACTTTTTTAATACTTCGAAAAAAATTTGAAATACAAATAAAGGATATTATTACGTAGCTAAGCATAGTCATTTTTATCTGTTTTTCAAATTTCAATATATACATAGTTAGAATTTCAATTTAATTAAAAAAAAATCTTATACAATTTGATGTATTTACATACATATATTGAATTTCGAAAAACGAAAAAAAACAGTTTCAGTTATCTTTTATCCTTTTACTCAGGTGACCAAATATTGAGATCTTGTATCTTAGAATGAACTAGGGTATTCAATTATCCGTTTTAGTCTTATTCAGTTTATTTGATAAATAATTATTTGAGGTTTTAGTTTAGCCGGTTAATAATTGGATAATTCGTTTAATCGAATAAAGGGAACTTAATGCTTTTTATTAATTTTAATGCTTTTTTAAATAAAACTTTTCTATATAAAGAAATTAGGTTAATTAATTTTATGGATTTGATATTTTTCAACAAGTTCCAGAATCCATACGTTTTAATGAGCTAGTGTATAACACAACAATGTTCCTCAAAACTGGTTGTAGAAGTAAAGTCATATACTTCTACAACCATATCGTTATTTCCATGATTGCTTTTCAAGAATCCGAAGTGTTTCTGTATGAACCCATTGTAGAAGTAGGTATATCAGAACAAATTCATAAAGTTTCTGAAGTATTGTTATAAAAACATGAAATAAATTTTCCTCATTATAGAAAAATAATTAAGGAATAACTAACAGAAGAAAATTTATTATAAAAATATTAAATTTTGTAGAAATTATTTGGATTATTCGTTATTTGAAATTTGGCAATTTTCATCTATTCGAACGATTAATTGCCAAAAATAGATCGATTAATCGTTTTAATACCCTAGTACATTCATACTTATGTAAATAAATTCGAAAGCTAAAACTAATTTGTTTATTTGTATACGAATTACTATAATATATATAAACATTACCGTTTGTCGAATTTACTACATACCATCATGAAATTGGTCTGATGTATTTCCCTCTAATTTTCGTTTTCTCATGTTTTCTGCAAAGTGAGATATTAAGGCATCAATCATTGGCGCTTGCTTAGAGAATATTTGCATTAATTTTGATATTTGTATTCCATTTTCCACAGCATCAAACTGAAATTTTGATATAAAAGATTTGTATATTAATATTGTAAGTAAGCTGTGTTTTAATACTTATTGAGGAGTTCATATTCTGACACTTGAGTAAAACTGAAATAGGGACAATTAGATCAAATCAGTTATTAACCCGTATCTAGGGCAATAAATTTATAAATGAAAATTGCAATTTTTTAAAACAAGACTAATTTTTACTATTCCTATTCTCTGCAGAATTGCCATAAAAGGTAATTAATGAGTTTATATTAACAATTTCCGAAATTATTCTGAGAAATTTCAATTCGCGATTTTCCGTTCCAAACGTTCGAGTTGAAGCGACGGTCATTTATTGTCTAATTAAATACTTATATTACATGTGTATAATTTTTTGACGGTGATAATAAAGAGAGGAGTTAAAAAAGTAAAGCTTCCAAAGTATGTAGTTATAAAGTTTCAATAGCTTCTGCAAGGTATATTAATTAACATCATAATTTGTTACTAAACAGAACAGACTCGTCTAAAATGTTCTGGATTTCAAAGTCTAAAAATTTCAAAAATGTATAAATTCATACAAATTATCTTTTGTATCTATATACATTAGAGGTGTCAAAAATATATATTTTGCTCAGATGGGTCTTATTTTGTTCATTAGTGTCTAAATCTAACTGGTGTAAAATTTTATCCAAATTGGATAACGGGAACCCGTACCGGAAATCGGTTTTTTTTTTTAAAAAGGAATTCACACTAAACGGGCAAAAACGGCTAATTATGTGTTCCTTTGCTACATTTGTTGTACTTTTATGAAATTTGAGAAATATGTATATATTTTTTTATTAATATTTTTCGTAATCGGTTAAGAAATGTGTTTTTCAAAAATGTTTTTGCAAAACATCATTAAAGAGGGAAAGGTTCCTCTCTGACGTAGTTTTCTTAAAATGCCCTACAACATCGATTTCTGAAATGATACAAAATATATTAAACAAAAAAAAGTGATTTTGAATAATTCAATGGAGAAAGAGGGTATGGGTAGTATTTTTGGTACTGTGTTGGTACCTTTTATAAATATTGTTCAAATTCAATGAAATTTCTTTTATAGCTTTATAAGATCACAAAGAAATTGCAAGGACTTTCTTCATAAGGAGACCTTCAGCATGTTTTGAAACACGAAGAAGCTAGGGAAAAATTAGCACTTTATGCTTTAAGTCAAGAATTATTCTTTCTCCTAAGTTAAATATGTATATTATAGTTTTACCTAACTAGATAGTATTAGAATTATAAATTTAGAATCTTTTAGCTTTATAAATTGGCAAAAAAATTTGTGAAGTAATTTCTTAGTGAGGTAAAATGAGTAAAATATTTTTATTTCGTAAATGCTATGTTATGTTAAAGTCAACAAAATTTTTATATTTCTGAATGTTGTAAAATTTCAGAAATTGATCTAAGGACTATGGATCTATAGTTTTACCTAATTAGATAGTATTAGAATTATAAATTTGGAATCTTTTAGCTTTATAAATTGGCAAAAAAAAATTGTGAAGTAATTTCTTAGTGAGGGGTAAAATGAGTAAAATTTTTTATTTCGTAAATGCTATGTTATGTTAAAGTCAACGAAATTTTTATATTCTGAATGTTGAAAAATTTCAGAAATTAATCTATGGACATTAGAGTGCTTCAAAAAAAACGAAGTTGCGAATTTTGCCCGTCCCCCCTCTAGAATTGTTCTGTGGGTTGTAAAACTAGGTCATACAAAAATTAGGCTGATAGGATAACGTTAACAGGTGCCGCAACGGCTGTGAAGTTTTCAAGTGCATTTACAAGGGGAAAATATCGATTTTTTTCAGTTTTTGCTCAAATTTTGCCATTTAATAATAAATTTTGAACTTTATTGTAAAGGAATCGTAATTTGCACAGAGTAAGCATTTCGGAAAGATATAAAACACAAAAATTGCTTGTTACTTCAAATATATCTATCATTACTCGAATATTAGTTTTTGACCTTATAAGATAACGCAAACTTCTTCTCAGCTATGGTCAAAAAAGTTTGATTTTTTTAACGGCCGCTTCAAATCTCCAATTTCAGTTTTTTTGAAACTTCGTTAAACAAATTTCAAAAGTTTTAGGAGATCTCATGGGGATTTATGGTTAATAGATAAGACTATTAAACAGTAAAAATATTATATCAATATTTCTTACAGTTTAGCTGTACCTGCGATTTGAACTCGGCGGATTTCGGGAAAATCGCATATTTTTTGTAATATTTTAGATAATGAGTGTTAATTCTTTACTGATGCATATTTTAAATAAAGTATTATCAGAGTATTATAGTCTAGATAATACAAAATATATATCCGAAGTTTTATTAAAATCGGACATTCTTAACCCAATAACTGTAGAGTTCAAAGGTAAAATTTTGCAATATTTGTGAATTCTTAGTGTACCATATCGAAATAATATTTATTTGTCAGCCATCTTTACCAAAAATTACTGGAATTTATCGTATATAGTCCGATATTTAAAATAGAGTGAAAAAGGTAGATTAACCCTTTAAGGCACTTGGGAACATTCGGAAAAACACTCTCTATTTGAATAATGCTCTGTATAATTAAAGGAATAACGGTAATAAAACAAAAAATTCTATATTAAGTATAAAAACTTATAAATTAACCCTTTTTACCATATAAAGTTTGTATTTTTAGACATACTACATTGAAAATCGACCGTAAAAAAGTATTGCGTAAATTATCAGTTTTAAAAACAAAATTTTTCTTTTAAAAATGTGCACCTCAACTTTACTCCATAGTCAAAAAGGGTTAAAGTATAATTTTTTATACTTAATATAGAATTTTTTGATTTATTTCTGTTATTCCTCTAATTATACATAGTATTATTCAAATAGATTTCGAATTTTTGAACTTGGGTGTTAAATTATTCCCAAGTGCCTTAAAGGGTTAATCTACTTTTTTTCACTCTATTTTAAATGTCGGACTATATACGATAAATTCCAGTCAGTTTTGGTAAATATGACCGACAAATAAATATTATTTCGATATGGTAGACTAAAAATTCCCAAATATTGCAAAATTTGACCTTTGAACTCCACAGTTTATGGATTAAGAATGTCCGATTTTAATAAAACTTCGGATATATATTTTGTATTATCTGGATTATAATACTCTGATAATACTTTATGTAAGATGTGCAACAGTAAAGAATTAATACGTATTCTCTAAAATATTTCAAAAAAATTCGATTTTCCCGAAATTCGCCGAGTTCAAATTGCAGGTGCAGCTAAACTGTAAAAAATATTGATCTAATATTTATACCGTTTAATAGCATTATCTATTGACCATAAATCCCCATGAGATCTCCAAAAAATTTTGAAATTTGTTTAACAAAGTTTAAAAAAAAACTGAAATTGGAGATTTGAAACGGCCGTTGAAAAAATCAAACTTTTTTGACCATAGCTGAGAACGAGTTACCGTTATCTTATAAGGGCAAAAACTAATATTCGAGTAATTATAGATTTATTTTAAGTAACAAAATGAATTTTTAGAATATATCCCAAAAAAAAGTAAATTTTTTGTCACATTTCGAATTTGTGTGCTGTGAGACACGTTAATGGCCTGGGGAATTTGCAATAACTTTTAAAGTTTTGAAGCAATTTTTGTGTTTTATATCTTTCCGAAATGCTTACTCTGTGCACATTACGATTTCTTTACAATAAAGTTCAAAATTTATTACTAAATGGCCAAATTTGATCAAAAACTTAAAAAAATCGATATTTTCCCTTTGTAAATGCACTTGGAAACTTCAGAGCCGTTGCGGCACCTGTTAACGTTATCCAATCAGCCTAAATTTTTGTATGACATAGTTTTACAACCCATAGAACAATTCTAGAGGGGGAGACGACCTGTCAGACAAATTTTTTTCCTTCATACAAGCTTGAATCACTCTAATGGACATAAAGCAGATTTTTTAGTTTATAGTATACGCACAACTGGGACGAACGACGAATTTTTCGGAACGAATATTCGTCGTCAGAAATTGGGTATATGCAAATGTACACAATCATTGCGTATGATGAAATTCGTCGTACGTAACGAACTATGCGATAGGTTTATTTCTATATGGCGGTTGTGAGTACAGCTAATTACAGTAAAATATTATGTTCGAATATTCGAAATTATATACGAAAATTCTTTTCTTTTTTTAAATAATTAAATAATTTGATTAATGCTTTTAATTATTTTTAAATAAAGTAAATTTTTGTTCTAAAAAGCGTTTTCTTGTATATTTATCTGTATATAAATTAAATGTATACTATTCATATTAATATAATTATCTTTGAATGCAAAAATGAGGAAATATTCCAAAATAATTTTTTTTATTTCCTATTAATAATATTTGGTTATTTGGTTATATATATGGTCACCCCAACCAGTATGTAAACAAATATTATTTGAAAATTAAGAAATTTAAATAATAATATGTTTGTGATCTAAAACCAAAAAAGTGCAATTTTCCTGCAGAATATGCAGTTGAAAATAAAAACAAAGAAAAGCAGAGAATTAAAAGCAAGATTCGCAGTGCGTTAAGTTTGATTGTGCTCAAATCGACAAATTTACGCAACAATTTTTTGTGGAATCGTTCGTCGTGCTAAGCGAAATTCGTCGTTCATCCTAATTGTGCGTATACCATAAAATAATCTCTGGGTCATAAAAACTAAAAATAAAATTTTTGAAAATTCGAACTTAAGTTCGAAAATTTTTTAAAGCCATTAAAACTAGTTCTCGTGGCCCGAATTGTCTGAAATTTGGCTGTCTGGAGTACACTTGATGACACTACAATGCTATGTTGGAATATTTAAAATTAAGTTCGAAAAAATCTCCTCAAAATGAGCAAGTCTGAGGTTAGTATGATGGTACTACGAGCACATCTATGCAAAATTGGAAGTGCGGATTCAGACGAATGTAGAGCATGTGGAGAGGACAGTGAAACTCTGGAGCACTTTCTTTGCC